TGCAAATTTTAACAAATACGGCTCGTAAACTCTTCCACAGTTAGCAACAAAAAAGAAAAAAAATAGATAGAATAAAATTATAAATAAATAAATACAAACGTCATAAACGTAACTGAGCCCACCTTGCTTACCTATGTAAGAAATATTATGGGTCTATTAGTTGGAGTGGAAGCGGATCGGTTCGTTGAGAAAAAGGATTATGATCCACGAGGAGGTGGTTATGGTAGAGTTAAGGAGAGAGGAGTAGAAGTTTCCTTGTTTCTTCCTTCTTTTTTCCAAACTAAACAGAACCCTATAAGTGCAAAAAACAATGGTAAGCTGTAGAATTGAAGCAGGAAATATGACACTTTTGGTGAGGTGAGATGAAGACTTGACAAAATCAAAAATCTTTTACCTAAAAAAAATCTATTTTTCTTAATCTATTTTTTTTTAACAATCAATTTGCAAAAAGAAAATATTTTTAATTAAATTCTAAATATTACAATAATAATAAAACAAAATAAAAAATAAAATAAAATCTTTAAAAAAACAAAAATAAAATTAATTGATAAAACCTTTTTCTCTTAATAAAAACAAATCCAACTTAAAACTTTATCTTATAAAAATAAAACTTACCAAAATAAAATAAGATATTTAAAAAATAGATAAATAAATGAATAAATAATAACAATAATAATAAATCCATTTTTTTAAAATAAAATCTATTTTTTATTTAATTAAAACTTTACCTTAAAACCAGTAATAAAGTAAAGTTACGTTACTCTTAACCAAACTAAAGAAGATAAAACTTAATAAAAATAAATAAATAAATAAATAACAAAAATTAAGCCGGACCAAATACGATGTTTACATGCATCAACCAAACAACGGAAAGTTTTGCCCCCGTGTCGATGTTGAGCACCTTGACACGTCGACATGTAGCTCGACATTTGAAACCCTGATTGTAACCAACTTGAAAGTTTATGAACTAAATTGTTATAAATTAAAATTTAAAGACTAAATCGTTCGTTAATTCAATGAAATTACACCCACCAAGCGTGACATTTTAACTTTAATATTTCTTCTCACATAACCAGGCTAAGTATTTAAATGATGGAGAGAGATCACTCACATGAAAACACAAAAAGAAGACTAAATCAATGGGATTGAAAAGAAGAATAATGAATGAATAGTCTGAACTTTATTATATAAAAAGAAGTGGAAAACCTTCAAACAAAAAAGATTACATCACAATGGAAAGAACTAATAATCAACACTTACATAAAAGAATTAAAGAATTACAACATATAATAAATAATATGGACTCAACACTGCCCCTATTGTGACAACTCAAACCAAAAGAATGAAAGAATAATCTTTGTGTTTTCTCTCTCTACCCTACAAAGAATTCCCCTCTCTCTCTCCTCTGTATAACAAATTACAATGAAATTCAATCAAAAGAAGAAAAAAAATTTGATGATCATGTTCATTTTGGATGGCTAAATGAAGATAAACTTGCTTCTGCTGGTGCCCATGCTGATAGTGTGTAAATTGGCTGTTCTTCCCAACTTAGCCTAATTCCTTCTGCTCCTCCTTCTTCTCCAATCTTTTCCACATTGAATCCTGAAGAAGAAGAGTACATCTTCAGCAGGAACTGGCTCTGAAGAAGTTCCCGGTCGACGCGAATCCCGACGCACTGCATTCCTCCTTCCTCCTCCATCACCTTCTTCCATTTCTCAAATCCAACATGTCTTTCATACCTCTCCCTTCCTTCACATCCTATCATGTTCCTTATCTCCCTCCCAAA